CATGGACAAACGAGTGGGATTATACACAGCCACAGATATTCCACTGTGTAAAAGCAGAAAGCCGTGTTGTAAGATGGATGGTGAGGGGAGGTGAGGCAGCACAACTAGGACTATCCAAAAGCGAGATGGATAGATGTAGTGAGCAGGGAGCAAACATCCCCCTCAAGCGAGCGCACGATTCAGCATCCATCTGCACACCCCTATGAGCCCCCCTCTCATCCATCACTCCCTGACTGCACCTACCTCCCATTCTCATCCTACCTCCCGTTACCCCCCCCCCGTTCCCCCACCGTCCCTTTGTCCCTAACTTTTCCCGGGCATAAGCGCCGATGGGATTCAGCAGTTTCGTAAGCACACAAGATGTCTTTCACCTCAGATGGCAATCCATCTTCCGCCGTATCTGCAGGGAGAGCGTGCAGAGACGTGGGCTGGCAGTGTGGGCTGGTGGCAGTTTGCCATACATTGTGGACTACATGGTGTGATGCTGTGTCTTAGCAGGAGTCACGATAAGCCATTTTCAGTTATGTGACGTTTGGCATCACGTTCATGTACAGCAGTGTTGGTTTGAACGGGCCTGAAGTTGCACTTCCACCTGTAATACACCTACTCTATTCTGTTTGCTGCATATTTAAAGCGGTGTTTTCTTGGGAGGTTTCTGCTGCTGTGTTAATCAGAGGCCCAGGGTGGAATGTTGTTGCTCTCACTGAGCAGGTTGTGTTGTTGGCCTGTCCAGGCCGCCTCGTTGGGAGCCTGCCAGGGATGCTGCTGCCCAGCTGCTGGGCTGCTGGCTGTTAGCGGTGCCGGATGAATCAAGTGGGAAAATGAAGTCTTTGATCGATCGTCTCACTGCGGACATTAGGAATGCCTAAGAGAGCCATGAGTCAGCGTGCTGCTTGTGTCGTCAGCCTCCTGTTAGTTTTGTCCTTCACTCACCTTTCTTGACACATGACGCTAGTTTCCCTTTACTTGCAAACTTTCCACTCCTATAATAATCTTAGTTTCCCCATTCTGTATTCATCAAAGAGGAAAGAAATAACAATTTCCCCACAGATAATAAGTTTCTCTTTTAAATCTTATTTTTGGAAAGAAAACAATTACACAAATCCACTTTATTTATTGTTGTCCAAGTGTGAACGGCTCTGACAATCCCGTCCCTGAGGTGAATGCGAAGCTCTTACAGGAGAGCTGAATCATTTCCAGCAGCTGGAATTAAACCACAGCGGCAGGTTTACTGTTTAAAAATAAGAATTCCTGCCCAGAGGAGATACAGACACTTAAACCCAGACTTTTCAGATAACATTAGATGGCCAAACCATCAGCTTATGGAAGATTGAGCTGCTTATCTGTCATTCTTAAGTAGTCCCGCTTCCAGCTATTATACTTCTATTGATTTATAGCAATACTAAGTCAGTCACAGAGTCTGAAAATAACAGCTTCTTTTTTTTTGGAACTATTTTAACACTTTAAATCACCACACAAATGGTCTATAACAGACAGACATAGTCGTATGTGGAACGTTGTAACACCCTCAGAAAAATGCTGACCAAGCACATGAAGTGTTATTCATGGTATAATTAGATTATAATTATAATAAATAATTGCCAACTACCATGCTCACATCTAGATTGCAGAGGAGCGGGGTGATAAAATGGGGCCCTCGTGCTTGGTGCAGGATCAGCACTTTCAACAGCAGCTGGTTGAGACGTCGGCATGTAGCAGTACAGGAGACAGATTTAATAAACCTTTTCCGCCTCATATCAGACATCCCGGCAGGCGCGAGTGTGTTGTTTATCAGACATGTGCACTGGCCCGGAAGCACAGTTGTCGTCTCAGGTGAATTTTGTGTGAAGTAAGTGATGTGTGCTTCTTAACTTTGAAGTAGGATTAGAGAAGTGACATTATCTGAATAATGGTTCCATGTCAGATGTTTTTTGGGGGCTAAAAGGGGCACTGTATGCAGGTGTTACTTACTAATTACTAGTAGTTAATTGTACGTTTTTTAAAAATATAAATAAAAACATAATGACTGGCTGAAAAAGACAGTTTTGGCTTGAATTAATCTTGGCATCCACAAACTCCTGCGGCAATCTCTTAATTGCCCTCTTTTGATAAAACTGTGCAGTTATCATGTGAATCCAGCGCATATCAGCTATATTTCACTCTTGCTCACGGTCTCATGTACACTGCTATGACGTGTTTCCCAAAGACATAGCTAATAGACCACGATAATAAAAAGCCATACAATATGTTGTTTTAGACTCCGTCTGGGCCAAAAGGAGGCCCACTTTTTGTCTTTGTGCTTGGAAGAAGCAATTTAACCTGTGATGAGAGACGTGTTGCCGGGAGAAAGAAACGAGGACAGCTGAGAACGCCTGCAAGGAAATTCCACAAAGAGAAGCGTAACAAAGCATGGAAGTTTTTACACTGGAAATAGGAGGTTGTGCAGTCCCTGTGTAATTTACAGTAATTTATAGGGTTAAATCGATTTACCAAAACCAATAGAAGACTCAGTGACTGAAATGAAGCCATCCTCTATGATGATAACGGAAATCCAAAGAACTATTAGGCACCAAAGCAGTTGTACTAGACTTTTTAGATTTAAATCCCCAATTGTTTTATATAATGTTACCGTAACCTCTTAGAGCATAAGAAAAACCACCCAAACCACTGTGTTTACACGGTCTAGTGTCCTTCCTTCCTCTGTCCCTATACATACTATTATGTGGGGACTGCTCCTGCCTGCAGGTCAGAATCACAGCTGACAAAATGTCATAAGCCCTGAATATGAAATGCAGGGCTTATGACATTTTGTCTTGCCCCCAAACTGCCTTCTAACACAGACTTATTTTTTCTACTTTATTGTTTGTGGACTTGTGGCTCTCATCCTTTACCTGATCGTCACAAAGCGAGTATTCATTATTAATGGGCTGAATGTGGCTCATTGTTGCCATTGGTCACAGAGTAACATAAACAACTCCTGTTGAAAGCAATGCAGTTCGCTCATTTCACCGGTACACAATCATCCCTTTGTGGTTATTGGCAGGACTGTTGAGAGAAATGGGCGACTGGTAGAATGAGTAATTGCAGAGAAGCGTTTTACTCATGTGAAAAAAGAACACATTTTCTGTGGAGATGAAAACTCGGATAACAGGTGATTCGTTCTATTGGATTTCTTTTTGATTGCGTAATGCTACATTTACATTAACATTTACGTTTTACATAAATGGTGAATTCAGTTTTTCTCCTGACATTAATTTACTGAAATGCTTCAAACACATACTTGCATGAGATGCAAGACACTGTCAGGTCAATGCAGTATTGACTTGTATGTTGCCTCTGTCATTGTTGTAAGTGATTTGCTTTCATACGTACACTATTCCTTTGTTTGCTCCTTGATTCTCTCATGGCACTTTGATCTCTACCATATTGAACAAAGAATGCTAACACACTTTATTTTGACGGCATTAACACAAGATATTCTGTGGTTCAGAGAGGAGATGGGTAGTGTGTTTGGTCTTTTCCCGGGCCTCAGGCTTGCTAAATTAGCAGATCAAGGATGCTTCAGATTAATATCCCAACACCACAAACCCCATGGAACCCATTTGTGAATTAAGAAAGACCATTGTTCCTCACTGAGTCCTGTTCTGCCTCTAGCTCCTTTTCAGACGGCAAATTAGGCGGAAAGAAAGTGAGATAAAACCATGGAAAAAGGGCATGCAAGAAGGTGAGAGCAAATGCCGGGGCAGAGGAAAGGCTAACAGCGAGGGCCGACGTCAACGCTGCTGGTGAAAACCACCTGTTGCTTTTACTTCAGAGACTCAGTGAATCGATTTTTTTCTCCCCTCTCCACATATCAACAAGAGGTTTCATATCTAATCAACTAAAGCTTTATGAGCTTCCTTCCCGAAGACGGGAGAGCGTGCCCTCGGCCATGAATCAAATGATCTACATGCAAAGCAGTCTGTCTCAGCCAGAACACTGAAAGGGGAGCAGAGTAAGAGGGGACGTGAGGGATGTAGGAAAACATATGAGACAGAGGAGGTGTGGAGCGGGGTCGCCAGGAGCAGGTCTCCCTCTGATAGCATTGTTTATGTGCCGCTGTCCGTGGATCATTGATCCATTCGTCTTCATTATGACTCCCTGTGAGATGTATTAACTGCTGCCACCCTCAGTTGGGGGCCTGCCATGTTGACACGGTTCCTGTACCAGCCTACCAATGTCCCTGCCACCTCTCCACTTGGCGGCAGAAGCTGATCGTTTTATTCCGCTTATGGCAAAAACAATAGCACGATTTTAAGTGTTTTTATTTTTATTTTTCTAATTAGCAAATATATTTGTATAGTCATTAATTGTACAAATCCGGTAGAGATAAATCGTACTATGACAGTATACTGATGTTGAGTGTCACTGCCATCTTTACAGTACAGTTGTGTATTGTTTCTTAATGTTTCCATTGGCCTTTTTTGAGAGCTTCCCGACCTATTTATCTGCTGTATGTTGCATAATAATGAATCAAACATCTATCCACTCCTGCTAATGTGAAGCATGGTTACATCTTTGTGATAACGTTTTGTAAAGTACATCAACAGTAAGCACAGTCAGGCTATAAATCCTTTTTCATTTGTTAAAATGTATTGACTGTTCTGGTGCCGAGTCCCTGCTTAATGCACTCCTGCTCGCAAATGACCCCCGAGAGACTTCCTGCTCCAATTCCTGTCTGAACTCTTACCATTGTCTATGCAAAGTATGGTGTTGTCTAACAACTCGAGCCCAGTGAGGCATCATGGGTCATCAGCAGCAGCGGCTGAGTCTGATCCCCTGACAAGATCCCTTTCACCTCGTTCTGTCAACTCCTCGCTCCCCGCCACTTGTCAAATCTGACAAATTTCACTCTTACTTGCTGTGCAGTGTTATTTTCGAGTAAATATGAGACAAGCTGATGGATAACTGTGTGATCTTTCTGTCATCTCTGTCTTTCTACTCTTTTCTTTTTTTCACAGCTTCAACCACAGATCCGGCTATCATCCTCATCGCTGTCTCGTTTGAGCCACAAGAAAAAGAAAGACGGAGCATGGTCTGGCGTGGTGGCCGCCGTTGCTATGTGTGAGGGAGTGCTGTGGCGTCAATGGAGACCGAAGGCTATAGTGACCTCCTGGAGACCAGCGATGGTCAGGGGGTAGGCCTGCTGGATGGAGGGGGTGAGGTGAGGATGGAAGAAGGCTGGAGCACACCCTACCCCCTTGGCTTCCAAGTTTCCCTGACCACGGTGCTGATGCTGGAGCTGGTGTTGGGCTTCAGCAGCAACCTGACCGTTCTTGTCCTCTACTGTGCACAGTCCAACCTGGTGGATTCAGTCAGCAACCTGGTCACAGTCAACCTCCATGTGCTGGACATACTGGTCTGTCTGCTGTGTCTGCCACTGACTGTCGCTGTGATCCTGCTACCGGCGAACGAAAGCGGAGTCGGCAGCTTGGCCACGCTGTGCTGCTTTCATGAGGCTTGTGTCACATTCACCAGTGTGGCCACAGCAGTCAATGTGCTGGTTATCAGCTTGGACCGATATGACATCTCTGTGCGTCCGGCCAGTCGTCTGCTGACACCCAGGAGGGCAGCACTACTCCTGGCAGCGGTTTGGGTCGTGTCTCTGGCTGTCTTCTTCTTGCCCTTCCTTGAGGGGGATTTCTTCTCTTCGGCGGTTAAGGACAATAAGGATGAGCAGCCGAGAGGGCAGAACAATGACTCTGAGTTAACCACTGGGCTGAGCCCCATATTTTCCTCCATCTCTCCTTCCTCCTTACCATCAACTCATTCTTCCTCCCCCACACACCACCTCACTCCAGTATGGCAGAACAGGACGCTGCTGTGCGTAGGAGGCCAGGGGTATTACACAGGCCTGGCTATGTATTACCACTTGTTACTCCAGGTGCCATGCTTCTTCATCGCCGTAGCCGTCATGTTGTTCACCTACTCTAAGATCCTGCAGGCCCTCAACATTCGAATAGGCTCCCACATGATGAGGAGTAAGCGTGCAAAGGACTCCACCTGCAGGATACGCTGCAGGAGGCAGAGGAGGAAGAAGGAGCTGAGTCTGCCCACGGAGGTAGTGTCCTCCAACCAGAACCAGAATCTCACCAATCCACCTCTCATCCCGTCGCTCACACCTACACCAACATCGCCCCAACCCCTGCGCTCCATGCCCCAGGCGATGTCTGACAGCGGAGCGACAATAACTACTGTCAGTACTGCTGCCACCACCCCGATAGCAACGACCCCGGCCACCCCTGCTTCTCCAACCCCAGTTTCAGCCCCAGCACAGCCCCATGCCACCTCCCCGCTGCCCGCGTCCACCATGGGTGTGCAGGCCTCGGTCTCTGCCATCATCGCCCTGAGGCGAGCGGTGCGCAGGCACAGGGACCGCCGAGAGCGCCAACGTCGCGTCCTTAAAATGTCCCTGCTCATCATATCCACCTTCCTGGGCTGCTGGGCCCCTCTGTCGGCTGTCAACGTTCTGATCCTGTGCATGGGTCCCAGCGACAGCCTGGTGCGGCTGCGCCTATGGTTCTTGGCGATGGCCTACGGAACCACTATCTTTCATCCCCTGCTTTATGCTTTCACCAGGCAAAAGCTGCGCCGTGCCCTCAAAACACGTGTCAAGAAAAGGGTGGTGTCCCTTCTCCAGGTAGACCCGGCTCCCAGCGGAGGGACAGTTATTCATAATTCCTGGGTGGAGGGGGGAGGCCAGAGGAAGAGTCGCAAGCCGCGAGTGGAGGCCAGTGAGGGCACTGACCGGTGCCTCACGGAGGCAGTGAGGGAATGAGGCCGTTCTTCAGTGTGTTTGCATGAGGCAGTGAGTGTGTGTGTGTGTGTGTGAATTTTTATCTATTTTACCAATTTGCTAGAGATGGATCATGTGTATATTTGCGCATGGATGTGAGAAAAAAAACTGTTAGTTTACAAAGGTCAGGACAAATCCTGTGACCACTTGTTCCAGGCAGATGTGGAAGCAGACGAGTCCAGGGCTTCAATTAGGGCCTTTACACGACTCTCTTTACACAGGGCCTCATTAGTCCACCTTCTGACTGACAAGGTGGCCACCGTGTCTCCATGACAACACTGGGGAAGCATACACCATAGCCATGTATGATAAAAACAATAGTGTGCAGTTGTATAGGATAACGGTTAGACAACAGCAAATGCATACATAACTGCTCCTGCGTGCACTTTCAACTTGCATGTGCATGTACATATGCCACACACACACACAAACACACACCTACACCTAAACAGGCACACTAATCTATATTTAGTCATTATCTGTGAAAGCACACCAATATCTACCTGCACAGATATTCTCAGTGAAATCAATATTAATGGAAGTCTATATTTCTCTTTATTTCCTTCATTTATTCATGCCTTAATTGAGTTATTAATATATTCTTGTGGTGCTGAATGTCCAGCTGTATGTTTACAATAATGTATCAGAGTGATAGGACAGATACTGTATATGGTATAGCAAATTAACAGCGGGTAAATACCAGCATTCAGAAGTTTACAAGCTTGTATGAAACTTCCAGGAAACTGCAAAAAAAACGGATTTTCAATTGCGAAAGGCACCATATTTTGGAAGGAATGTTTGTAAGTTAAAGCTCAAAGGCATGACTTTAATTTTGATTTATTGAACAAACCGAATGAGTAAAAATCCTGATGACGTAACCGAGGGCGTGTGATTGCGATTGTATGTTTGCATGTGTGCATGTAGGCATTAGTCTTTGCGTGTGCGGTTGCGTAAATGGATAAAGGAGTGTGTTTGCGATTATGTGCAATAAATTCTGAGAAAAGCAATGACCCCTGGGATGTGAACAAAGCGAATGTGAACACAGAGTTTATGGTTTTCTACATATGGTTTAAATTAATAGGGGGAAGAGAGAAGAAAGGGGACTTAATCATCTGATTAACAGAAAGAGGCCAATGGGCATAATGTAAAGGCAGAATACTTTGAGCAATCTTAACTACACAGGCTACAGTAATACTGAAATTGTATCACCTCAGTTTTAAAGTGGAAATCAAAGGGCAACATTTTGTGGAAATGAAATGCTGTCTGTAGTCACTGCAGGTAAACTAGCATCTTATACCGGAGGTATTCCATCATCGGGCAAAAGAAACTGGTGCCATGGGACGTCTCCTCGTATTAGCTGCTGGTTGCTCTGCAGGTCGGAGTCACTGCTGTTGGACAGAACTTTGAATGACTGCGGAGGGAAAAGGCCTCTGTCAGCTTCTGGACCGAGTCCTGGACATGTTTCACTATATCTATATCTCTCTTTCTCCTCAGGGCTTCATGTCTCATTTCTCAAAGTGCTGGACATAAAACAATAAACCAGCCCTCAATCAGCTGTTGTATAATGGGTGTTACAGTAGATTTATGTCAGTAAGTAGATAGAGTACACTTTAAGCTTTATATGGGCTCGTGGAGAGCGTCTTTTGGATTTTGGATCTCCTTCATCCTCAAACCTTTTACAATATTTGTGAGCCAGACAAAAATACAATAATTCTTGTGTATTCATGTACATATTTCAGGGATGTAAATATTGAAGTGTCTGTTTTGGGGGTTTTAGTCAAAGAAGATAGTTTTTATTTTAGTCACAATCATCTGCCGGACAGAAAATCAGCCATTGTGATGAACTCTAAATGAGTTTGAAAGCTACTGTAACAAGAAGATACATGTAAGTGTATTTGTGTTAATACTATATGTGTGTACACTGTACTGTACATTTATGAACATGTGTATAAATATTAGTATTGTATACAATTTATATTATGTGTTATTGTATAGATCGGAACAGAATCTGTATTAAAAAAGATGATCTAAGAACTGACTAATCTCAGTGTCTGTTTCATACACGTTTAATGTTCAATGCATTGGTTTCCATCTTTCAAATATAATATTTTACTTTTATATAATTTAACAAATAAATGTATTTACACATTTCTGCCTAGATGCCTTTGTATCTGCTAGGATACTATAATGAATATGTATATGGATGTCTTCTTTTTCATTTCAGATTTTTTACACAAACAAAAAGAGATAAAGAAAACTCAATTACAGAAAATGTATAGATTTTGCAGAAATGCCTTGTAAAAATCCATACAATCACATTTATGTATATAATGACATTCTTAATAATCACACTTTAAGAGTTCAGAACGATCTAATCTGTATTGGAAAAGATGACAATTTTGTTTCTCGAATATTGGCGACCTTTGCAACAAAAAGTTGCCTCCTTTACTGGGCCGTGGAGGCAGTCTGCTAAGAACGTCTTGAAATTCATCCTGCACAGTGTAACTGCGCGAGGCCTCCATAATACTTAATACCAATACACAAATACAGAGACTCCTTTTTCAAAGCTTCTCCTCCATTTCTACATTTCCCTGCTCCTCACTACTCGTCTCTTCGATCCCTAAATCTAGAAACTCCGTCCTAGATACCTGCAGTATTTAGTTCTGACTGTGGTGAACCCTCACTGGGAGGTAACAACTGTGCTAATCACCAATACTAATGACACTTGTTAGTCAGGTAAGAATCTGTCAAGGCAGCTCAACCTCAGAATGTTAACACTTCATTTATTTATTTTATCAAAACAAAACTGTGTGCTAATACATGTGTGGAAGCCTGTGTGTGTGTGTGTGTGTTTGTGTTTGTTTGTTGCCTTACTGACTCAACACCAAAGATTCCTCCATTCTGCTTGAAAATCTCATCACCTCCTCTTTCACACCCTCATTCCCTCTCCTGGTTCTCCTTTTTATTCCGTCAGCCTGCATCTCTCTCATCTCTTATCCACACTCAGGCCTTCAAGAACAAAGCGAGGAACAGCTGCAGTGTTGGTGAAGGAAGGAAAGTCACCTTGGGGGATGACAGAGGAATGAGAGAGAGAGAGAAAGAGAATCGGAGGCAGTATTGAGTGGAGATTATAGGAAGAAGGGGAGGCATAGGAGCTGGCACTGGGACATCATATGACTAATAAAGGGAAAACACTGCATCACTGCAGAACCTCAAAAGATAAAACAAAGTGGAGAAAGATGAGATTTCACAGATTTACTGTTTTCTCATAATATTGCACCATGCCCCTCATGTTAGGGTAGTATAGTATTTATAGTCTGTTACAGCTTTGACTGGATTGGGTGGACCGGCCGGTCCCAGTTCTTGCAGACGTCTTTAGATTTGGCCAATATTGAATAGATTTCAATATTATCTGATGCTGAGATGTTAATCGATACAGTTCTGACAATGTTCGTGTTTACTCGAGGTATGTTGAGACGTGCTTGTTCATAACACAAGTAACAGAAAAGGAATTTGCAGATTGCAAGTAGGATGTGCCAAATACATGGAACACCTAATGTACATCATGTTAAATATGTGTATGAAAGGTTGTGATTAGGTATATGGGTGATACTAAATATGTAAATCTTAATATGTTTCATATTCATTCAACCTTCCACCACAGTGATGCACGAAACCACCGCGACCTCTCAGCGCATCAAGCGGGGCGCAAACTGTGACGTCATCAGCTTACGTGTCGCCTTTGCAAGTCAGAACGTTACGTTAGAATACGAGCTGGTAACAAAGCACACACAACGAAACGAGCTCAATGAGTCAAACGAAAACAAAGGCCTCGGTGGTGTCAAGTGTTGGTTTAACGGAAGTCACATCCATGCGATGTTATTCTTTATTTAACGTTACTCATAATTAACTGGTCCCTAAACACAGCGTTCATTTTTCTTAACCAAACCTTACTTGGTTACCCAATTGTTTCTATCATGCCTGCATTATGATCTCGCTGTTAAAAGGGTCGTATTTGTATGGGATCACGTTTTCCTGTGGAACAAGGGTTTATAATATCAAACACAGTCTTTCGCTGCTCTGCTCTTTCTCTGATGACGTGCCAACCAGCCTTTTGTGCTCACCAATGTCGCCATCATGTGTTCGAACTATAGCATATATAGCAATATAGCATGAGGAGGACTCGGTATTTCTCCGAAGTTACAGTCCACTGACATTGTGGCTTCTTTGTCATTGTTTTCTTTGATGAGCCCCGTGTTCTTTTGTGCTTCGGGTACTACACGTTTACCTTAGTGTAGAAAAAAAGCTGGTTGAATACAAGAACTATATTAGTAGTTGCTGCAGTACCTACCATGCGCCGAAATAGCTCAGTTGGGAGAGCGTTAGACTGAAGATCTAAAGGTCCCTGGTTCGATCCCGGGTTTCGGCAGCTACGTGTTCCTTTTAGTCTGTATTTGTATTTTATTTTTTCAATCACGCCATTTCAAAACGATAGCAGGTCAATCAATGCGCGGGTATTACTGATTATTTGTTATGCGAAATTTATTAATGTTTCTTTGTCATGGTTAGGTGGTTTAAAAATAATGGTACTGGGGTTCAATACAAAATATGTGAATGTGAAGCAACAATGCATACAAACCCGCATAATTAGTGTGATAGTATCGCATTTCTTCTAAAAATCGAGTAGATTAAAGTATAATGCGGGGAAAGAACTTCTTGTGTGGACCCACATTCTCTAATTATACTTCTCACTGCTTCGTCTTTCAAATATTTGGATGTATAGTTCACTGTTTCTTGTTTAAAATCTTAAACACTCTTAAACAATGTTTACGAACACCGGAACCGGAAACACGTCAACCACGTTAGTACATTTAAAATTAGTTCACTAAAACCTTCACCAGGGGGCGATGTTGACTAATAGGTTATTGAACTTGAGCGGCTCTTTTGAAAGTTCATCTTCGGGCAATGAACCAACTGAACATTAGATCGCAGGAAATTCTCTCTTCAAACGTCTTTACGCTGTTACTTCTACGTCTGTGCCTTCTGACCTTTGTATGTAGTACATATGATCTACCATCATCATTTGTCTTTCACTTTTTCACTTTCTCCCAGTGAGAGTCCCCCAGTTAAGATCCAGACCACTCCTTAGTTTATTTATACACACCTTTCTCAGGGAGGAGTAAACTCGTTGCTCTCCAAACACGTCCTGTTAAATGTTTATTTTGTTTGTGTAGGTAGATTAGGTTTGCAGGAGAAAGACAAAGTGTCTGTTGTCTGTTTAAGAAGCAGACAGAAAGGGAGGGTGTGTTTAAACTTGACCTCTATACTTCATACTATTCGTCCTCCGAAGTTAAGAAACCTTGATAAATAGGGTTTTGTTTCTTTAAATGGTGCACGTCATTTACTTCTGAAAAGTTCATAATTCCTAATGCAACACAATGTTTATCTATCAGCAAATATGTTGAAGCATTATACTGTGAAAATGTTTCTTTTATGAAGCTTCAATGTTCAAATGTCAATAATGTTATTCAGCAGAAAAGGACTATAAAGGACTAGATTGTCTGAACAAAACACTTTTGCTCTTAGTAGAACTCCTCAAATTGTAACTGTAGATTTATTATATAACAGACTGTTACCATGGTACATTGTTGCAAAGGTCTGGCAATTATCCCAAACGATGATGTTCTCTAACAAACCACAGAAATAAAAAAACCTGTATGTTTCGTGGTACTGTAGCCCATAATGATGGGACGGTTACATTGACGCCTGAAGTCAAATGACGGTGGGATTTGTGACTCAGATCCAGCTCACCAGTTTCACAACCTTCTGACTCTTTATGGTCGGTCAGTGACTTACGTTTTTTTGGCAAGTGTGCGTGAGTGTAATTATATAAATGACGCTCCAGTTTATCTCCATTAGAGTGTCCCAGCAAGCAGTGCCAACGATTGTCCTGTAGCTGCTATGAACTTCCTGTATGCTGTTCAAAGAGCTTCATGTGTTCACCCGCCTCGGCCTTTCAGTCCTCCGTCCAGTGTTGTGATTAACTACTGTGAAGACTCAGATGCTGTTGACTCGGCAGATTTGTTGAGTTTGCGCGTCAGCACTGCCGAGCGAGAACAGGATGAGTGCTTTTGTTTCGCTGCAAAGACGATCACGACGGGGCCACTTCCTATATTTACTCAGCTCCGTTCCAAGTGCACTTCCTCCTTTCAGACCCGAGATTGCACTTTTGTAGCCTTCATTGTGTGCTGCCCTGAAGATGTCACGTGGCCGTTGAACTTTGGTGGGGATCCCACCAAACAAACATGAATTACAGTCGGAGAAAGTGAGAGAGGGACACACAAAGACCTCCAGAGATGGATACTGTTGCTTTCAAATGTGCTGTCATCAGGCGCCCGCTGGGGTTTCCGTGCTGCCAAAAACACAGAGCAAAACTTTCCTGGTCAGGAAAGCTGAAACGGCCTCTCAGTTCTTCCACCTGTTCCTGATAGCTTACAATCAGACAGCTACTGTAACTCACGCTTCACCATCCAAAGGCTTTTTTATGTTGTAACTGACTCATTTTAAAGGCCTTTTCTCATTGGTTTTGTACAATATTTAAAGAGGTCAAATCTATGAAGAACTCGCTACGATTATCCTGAATTGTTAACATTTCACGTTTAAGTGGTTACGGCCATAAATTTGGTCAGTGTTATAGTCTTGCTTCTCTTGACTCGGGCAGCATTCCAGTGTCTTTTCTCACTGGTTTATTTTACAAACCAAAAGCCCGTCAATTATGAGGGCTCTGAGTTGGTACATTTTGTCCATAGTTAGAATACATAACATTGCATTTCTCTTGATGGAACTCATTTTATATTGTGTTATAGGGAACGTGTTGGTGTTGCGTTGTTCAGCACTTTACCTGTCTGTGGAAACGAGCCCAAGCTGTGTAATTGACGAGGAGGACAGAAGGAAAATGAGCATTTGGGAACGCAATAACAGATCAGCTCAAAGGCTTCCTGTCAGCAAACAGCAATGAAGTAAAAGCCATTTAAGTTC